AAATCTTCAAAAACCATCATAACTACCATTTTCAACTACTTAGTTACGCTATATAAGCACAATTTCAAGGTGTTTCATGGATTGTGGGAAAACAGGAACTAATGTGAATTACGTATGCAAGTGTATGAAGAGCAACAAAAGCAAAATACAAGAAATGCCATAATTGCATCAAGTGGTGGCTGCCTATTATTTTCTGAAAAACAAATCAATGAAGGTAATATTATTCTTTGACTTTTAGCATTGTTTTATTTACTTTATTTCAAATTCCTTTTACTTTATAAATACTAATAAAACAACTTGTTTTTAATTATACAGTGAACAACTTGTAGAATTTGAAACTCCAATTGCAATACCAAGGGATGATATGATAAATTTAGCACCAACAATCCTAAATCAATTGATATATTCAAGAATTGTTCAAGCATGGTCATTTTTAATGAATAAATCATGATTGACAGCCAGACCATCATGCTTTTTCTTTGGAATTGACCACAATGTAAGTGATACATTGAATAAAGAATAGAATAAATACATAATATAACTAAATACATAATGTGTTTTGCGTTTTCATGAATATGCAGAGACCATTGGAGATTTCTCTCGCGTCTCAGAAAACTTCTCAAGAGGCTAAAGATCGTTCTCCTAAATCAGTTTTGGCTCAATTAAGCCAAGCTTGGTTAGATTGGCTCCAATTGTGTAATGCAAAACACCAGTTTATGGAGGTTGATTTGGTATGTTTTCTCTAATGTGTATAAATCTGATTTTTTTTTTTTAAAAAATAAAAAAATAAAAAAAAAAGCTAACAAATACAATTTAAATCTCAGATGTTTATCCCAATTCTGTTGAATCTCCATTATAGTGAGGTGGTGGTGAACATGTTGAAAGGAAGCATCTAGTACTTGGTTAATAGAATATATGAAACAATGAATGGATTACTACAAAAATGTTGCACCTACTGTGGTATGATTCTGTACTTAATCTAAAATCTATATTAAAAGTAAATAGCATTATATTATTATTATTATAAGTATGAATATTTTTAAAGTTAATGATTTACATGTAATAGTAAATAATAACACTTCTAAAGTAAATAAAATGATCTAATTTCAAGTATTTCAAGTAGAAGAAATGTCAGAGTTGATAAACAAACTAGAGCATCCAAAAGCTGAAGATATAGTATCTTACGAGTTTGACAATGTATCATTTCCTTGGAAATCAACAAAACAAACACTTGATTGCGGTGTCTTCTGTATGGTACATATGATGTGCTTTAATGGGGAATCTTTTAATGGAGACTTGGGGTTGGCCAATAGAAGGAAGTTGTATTGTGCAGAAATATGTGCTTCCCCTTGTTCTGTCAGACATCAAGTCAAATAGAGATGTCATTGTAGATAAAGTTTCAAAGTTCAAAGTAAGCAAAAAACTTGATGTGGATGCTGAGTTTTCAAAGTTGAAGGAAATGATATATGTGTCAGATTTCTTGAAAGAAAACAAGGACTGTGTGGAAAACATGAGCTTGTAGTTTAACCAAGTATATAATTAGTAAAAAAAATTTAATTTTTCATGTTTCAAAATAAAATTATTCTAATGATAAACATATTACAGTATAGTTGTAGGTTGGTTGGGTGAATCAATTGAAATAACAAGAGAGGTTTGTAATTCATTGCTTGATGAATGGAAATTTACAAATATTTTGATCACTGCTTGGGTTCTCCACCTCAACTATTACGAAAAAGAGAGAGAAAGGCCTGAGAGAAAGGCCTGAGAATCAGCTAGTCAGATTCTACTTTGGATTTGACCACATGGTAATTGATACAAAAATACAATAACACTTTGGATTTGCTTTCATGTTTATAGTACAAAAATACAAGCTCTGTAAATGTGCTAACTTAACTTGGAAAAAAATTTCAGGAAGCTTTAACTATTTGTTTGAGAGCAAATGGGAAAAGGGGAGTGACCCAACTTCAAAAGATATGGGAAGAATGGACAAAAACACAAGCATTGGACTTGGATGCAGCTGAATGTGTAAGTTAAAGATAACTTATTTAAAGTAAATAAAACATTCTTTAAAGTTAAAGTAGATATCTTAAAAGTAAATAAACAATTCATTAAATCTAAAGATTGAATAATTTGGTTTGCATGTATTTTTTTTCCTTTGAAGAAGGAAAATCATTATTTCGTTGTTGTCATAAACTTCAGAAATGAAACAGTTGATCAACTGGACAGTACAGAGTACGAGGATACCGAGGAATGGGAATCAATCAAGAGTTTTATTAAGGAGACAATAAGCGAAATAATATAAGTTAAATTTTAGGCAGTATATTCTTTTTCAATGCTTTCTAATAACAATATATATGTTGCAAGTAAATCAAATTCAAAAAATTTTGAAGAAAAGAAAGCATCCAAAGGCAGAAGAAATGTTGAATTACAATGTCAGATTAATAGAACTTCCATTCCAGAAAGTAAGGTAAGACAATTACTCTAGAAGCTATCTATTGCTTCACATGAAGGCTTATGATGATGTGAATGGCTTGGGACTGGGATCTATCAAACATGTGAGTTGACATTTCTATTTTTATAAGTTTAAATATTCATATATGCATTGTCTTAAGTTTTTGAGTGTTTTGTTTATCTTTGGTTTATTTCCAGGAATTTAAAAGATTGAAACACCATCATATAACAATACTGCTTCTAATACTTCTCAATGAAGAAAACCAAATGCAAACCAAACTACTTGCAAATGTTGAAGAATGGGAGTTAAAGAAAAAGAAAGTAATAATGATGTTTATTTTTTTCATATAAAATATAATAATTTTTGTTTTTTTCACAAACTACAACTAACTCTTTAAATTCATTAATATTTTAGGAGGCTGAAGAAATCAAAGCTAAGAAATGGAAGAACAAGGAATAGATAGAAATGGTGGTGATGAAGAAAAAGAAGATTTAGACAGCATAGATGTATAATTTTAATATTAGTGTCTAGGATTAGTATGATGTTTATATTAATGATTTGAATTTTGTGATGTCTACAGGATTTTATGATGTTTGTAGGAAGGATTTCTAAGGATTATATATATATATATATATATATATATATATATATATATATATATATATATATATAATGTCTTAGTATAGAAAAGTTTGTGTATATATGTGCATATAAGTTAAAAAATTAAACAAAAACGTTTTTGAAAGTAAACAAAATATATCCTAAAGTAAAAGGATTATCTATTAAAGTAATATATATTTTTATTTTCTTTATTGTGTATTCTTATATTGCAAAAAAAATGTTTGTTAATATATTTGCACATAAATTAAAAATTAAACAAAAAGTTTTGAAAACTAATGAAATATCTGTTAAAGTAAAAGGACTATATATTAAAGAAAAGGATATCTATCAAAGTAATGCATAAAAATGAGAATAATATTTATGTTGTGTGTCTATTTTGGTTCACTCACTGTCATATGAGGTATATTTTTATTAAATAAAAATCTATATGTTTTAAAATATCTATTACATGAAAAGTAAAAGAAATATTTTTTTTAAAAAAAAATTGTTAAAAGTAAACAAATATTATTTGCACTACGTGTAAAATAAATTATACATAACAAAGGTGTAAAAAGAAATTATACATAAAGTGATTGTAACATAACTTTGAGATGAATGTATAACTTTGGAAATCGAAGAATTCTTTAACAATGGACGCAAAGGTCACAAACAATAACAAACACCTTCCATTAAGGGTTAACCCATGCCCTTAATTTGAAGATGGTTGGGTTAGGGTTTGTTGTGGTGGCGGTGGTTTTGGGCATGATGTTGGTGGTGATGGACATGGTGTTTGTTATGGTGTTGCAATTCGTCCACCATTGATGATGGCAAAGGTTGAAGAAGATAAGGAAGGTTGAAGGAGGAGGGAGTGGTTGAGTCAACCACAAAAAAAAAAGAATAAAAAATTTATAAAGTTGCAATTATTTATCATTTTGAGAAAATGGGGCAAACTCATAAAATAACTAAGGACAAATATTAAATCCTATTACATGAAAATTAAAAGTAAGAGAAATACCTATTACATGAAAAGTAAAAGAAATTGCTTTAAAAGTTAAAAACAAACTGTTAAAAGTAAATAAAAATTATTTGCACTAACTTTGAGATGTAAAATAAATTATACATAAAGTGATTGTAACATAACATTGAGATGAATGTATATAACTAAGAACAAATTAGAAATTCTATTACCCAATTCTATTATATACAAAATAATATAAAAAAACTAAATGAACTGTATTAAAGTAAATGAAATATATTACAAAGTTAAAAAGAAATTGCTTAAAGTAACTGTAGTGAACAATATTATAATTAAAAAAAAAGTATTACAAAAAAGTAAACATTTTATGAACTTCAAGGCATATTTAACATCAACTGCATCAATCCAATAATGAAGCCTACATATCCCAAATGAACCTGAAATAAATTAACAAAAAGTACATAAGTTGTAATAAAGTAAACAAAGATCAAATAAAAGTAATTAAAACAATGTTAAAAGTAACATACCTGAGAAATTACTTATTTGGACAGTTTCTACTATCATAAGAAACACCTGATTGCCCACACGCTCTGCAAGTTCTTCCTTTTATGCTTTTTTCTTCAATAGCTACCTCTTTGGCACTCTTCAAGCGCTTAGAACTTCTAGCAAACCCTTTGTTGAGGCATTGATTCGGAGGTAAGATATCTACATCAACAACATTAGATCCAACAAAGAGCTGAATATCAGCTTCTTTGCCTTCTTTGAAACTTACACCTGACATTCAAATACTATATAAGTTGTAGTAAAGTAAATAAAATCTAAATAAAAGTAAATAAAACAAAGTTAAAAGTAACACACCTTCACCGTTGTTCTTTTTCATAAGTTCTTCCTCAAATGAAGACAAGTACTTAACAAAATCAGACAGATCACCCTCACAACCCTTTGCTAGACTAACACAGGAGAACATTTTTTTTACCACACATCAGAGATTAGTTGCTTCTTTTTGTCAAAGTTAGAAGCCTCATCCACTGATGTAGATTTCTTCTTAGCGTCTTTTCTCCAACGATTCAAAACATAATGTTCAGGGATTTCAGATACTGATTTACCTTTAATAATGAATAATATATGTCTGCACAGAACACCCAGACTCTCAAACATCTTGCAAGTACAAGTACACTCTAGTGTAGATAAATCAAATGTGACATTAAAATTCCTTTGACGTTCATCATCTACAACAACGGAAAATTCGACTCCATCACCATAATAACTAGAATTATTTACAACGTTCAACACCACAAGAAAAACAAGCAGCCTCGCATTCTTGTTGAAATTCATAGAAAATAGAACGAGTGTAAACTGAAGAACCATGCTTCTCTAACTTTATTGGAGTAATAAGTTTAGGCATTTGCTTGTTCAGTCTATTTTGTTCATCTTGCTCATGCCTTTGTGCATCCAAGGTTATTTTGTACCGAAGGAGAAACTGAACACATGACACATGAGGATTTATGAAATGACAAAAAAAGTTGTTTTCACCCTCAGATTTAGAGGTAGATCTTAACAAACCACCCATAAATAAATCCCTAAAATAGGCTGGGATCTAGAGATGCTTGATCTTGAACATATAAGCAAACCATTCATGAGATATCAAATCATATTTTTCGATCACAGTATTCCAACCATCAACAAACTCATTAGGTTCAATTTCCCTGTCCCAAACAACAGCACAAAACTCTTTCAAAAAGTCATTGTCATTACAGAAAGTTGTACCCACTTTCTCAGGCACTTTCCTCATGATGTGCCACATGCACAATCGATGTTTCGTTTTGGTAAAAGCATTTTGTATTGCAATACCCATTGCAGGGTCTTGGTCTGTAATAAGACAAGAAGGCTCATTTCCCATACACTTTAGAAAAGTCAGAAAAAGCCATACAAAAGATTCCACATCTTCTATAGATAACAAGGTTGCACAAAATGTGACACATTATTTATGATGGTCAACTCTAGTAAAAGGGCGGAACACTAAGGAGTATTTATTTGTATCATATGTGGTATCAAAAGAAATCGAATCACTAAACAAGTGAAAGTCCTTTCTCCCTATGGGATCAGCCCAAAAAACCCGTGTTAGATGCCTAGTTGCATTAACACAATAGTCTAGATAATAACCACCATTACTGTTGTTGACTTTATGTTGAATATTTTCTATAAACATAGCCCCATCAGCTTCAGAAATATAAACTTTTAAGTCACGAGAAAAGTTTTTAAATTGATTTTTAGTGCCTCTCACATGTTTATAACCTCCACAATATTCTTTCATCATCCTATAGAACATAACAAGCCTAATGTTCAACTTTGAATTATCAAATATAAACTTCCTATGAACACAAGTTAAGCCATCATCATATGGTTTAGTGACCTGTCTAGTAATAGGAGTTGAGAAGGGATGATAATGGCTTTCATGAAAGAAATAAACCATATACTTTCCACCATCACAATACTTAAACTTAATCATAGCTGGACACCCAATCCTCCTGACTATAGTCTTCCTAAAAGCAACACCTTCAACATCTTTTTTATCTTTCTTATTACCATTGACAAAACCTTCTTTGTTACCAACCAAATATTTAATAAGTACAAGACCCTTTTTACCATCAGGACCAGTCAACTTCTTTTCTACCTTGCTAGTACTACTATGGATTTTGAATCCACAATCACTAGCATACTTATAATAAAAATTAATTCCATCTTGAAGACAATTAAATTTCATTCCAAAAATAGGCTTATTTCCTTAGAACAACCAGGAATAAACTCTTTACCACCTTTAGAATTATAAACTGTTCCTAGGTAGTACATCATAAGAAGGAGTTTTTAAAATGCTTACATTAACATCTCCAGCTTGAACATCAGGAGAAGAGAGCCCAACTGTTTCATGCATCATCTTGAAAAGTAGATGAATCCAAATTAAAAGTAGACAAAACATCACTAAATGTAAAAGCAAAACAATTAAAAAATGAGGAAATGAAATATTTAAAGAATGTTTCAGACATCATCCTGAAAAGTAGATGAATCCAAATTAAAGGTAGACAAAACATCACTAAATTAAAAGTAAAACCATTAAAAAAAAATTGAGGAAATCAACAGGTCAAGCAAAAATCTTCTAGGAACAACAACTTCCTGGAACGTCCTTATGTAACCTTTAGAAGTACCAAATTATAATTGAGAATAGATAAACAAGTTAAGAATCAATAATATGGAATTGCAGCAATGGCCATACAGACAAAACCTTTAAATACGCTTCATTCAATAAGAAAAAATAAATAAAAATAAAAAATAAAAAATAAAAATAAAAACCATGTACTAAACCAAAGAATCACCCACATAAATAAAAACCATCATAAATTCATATAACATATTTTGAGATAGAGGAGGGCAATCAAATTAGTAGTTGATCCCCACTCATTAGATTAAGGAATTTGTAAGTCAGGTTGATATAGAAGGATATAAGATAAAAAGGCATTTAGTCATTCAAATAAGCAAGCAACAGTGCATAAGACAAGCCAAGGGATATAGTAAGAGGTAAAACACTTGGTGTTTAATATGGACACAACTTAATGAACTGCTTCCATTAGATCCTAACAAATTTTCACGGTCATTTTAAGAAATGAACTCAAAGCCCTTACGCAAATGTTCAGATATCATCATTTGATAGCTCAAATTGTGTTAAGTTCTAAGAAAAATCTTAATACCTTGAACTTATTCATGAAGGAGAGCAACCCTCTTACAAATTACAATCCCAAATGAGATTTCATCCCAAAGAAACCCTTTGATCAACAGTAAATAATGATAAATATAAAGTAAATAAAATCCATTTAAAAGTAAAAGCAAAAGTAAAAGAATACATCAAAAAATCGAAAAAGCAGTAGTGCCTTCAGAGAGATCGGATGTAGAGAGAGAAAGTAAGAAAGAGAGAGAGAGTTAGAACGGAGGTCATTCAACGCCAAAATTACAAAAATGCCCTTAATGAGTCGGGTGAAACTTCACTCGTTAGATCTAACGCTATTAACGGCTAAGATTAGTTCGCGCTTCTTATTATTCAAGGTAGTTCGCACGAGATCTCATTTCTATATATATATATATATATATATATATATATATATATATATATATATATATATATATATAAACCTAAGTATAATTTATTTATATTGAGGTAACTTTTTATTTTTGTATGAAAACTAACTTTACCATTTATATACTTCCTCCGTTTCTATTTAATTGACACGTTCAATTTAGGCACACATTAAGGAGAGGAGAGTGAATGATAAAGCAAGCGGGGAACACTAAAAATGCAAGGTATAAAACTTACCCAAAAAGGAAACGTGTCAACTAAAAATAAATTTCCTAAAAAAGATTACGTGTCAACTAAAAAAAACGGAGGTAAGTATAATATTTATTATATATTCAATTTATTTTAAATTTTGTATATTTTCTTTGTTTTTTTTTAAATTTATTTTTAAACTTGAAATTCATTAATGCTTGCTATTGCATTACTATTTGTATTAATATCTTAGATTTTGATATTTAAAACATAATTTTTTTGAATTAAAATTATAATTACTAGTTGAGACAAATTTAATAAGATTACATGAATGTATAAATACATATAAATACAAGCAACCTCGTTATTAAAAGTTTGGCTCTCTTACCATGGACCTATGTTTTCAAAAAAAAAAAAGTTTTATTTTGAAAAAATGGGTTTAATAGATATAATAAAAGGGATTTGGGAACTAGGGCAACCAATGCTAGTGACATAATTAGCCATATATGCGAGCTCTTTTGGTTTGTTCTCATGTCACAATTTTAGTTGTTGATAGCATTAATTAGGGAAACTATGTAAATATATATTTTTAGCATACAAATGTCAGTACACTATTCTTAAGAGCTCAAAAAATAGGCAATTATTATTCATAAGGACGAATAAGTAATAAACATTTTAAAGGTATAATTGTTTAAACCGTAGTCATAAAAATTGTCTCAAACTTAAAACAAAAATAAAAATAGCAATTTGACATTGGTGAGGTAGTATCACGTGGATGTGAACAAATTTAGTCTATTAATGTTTTTGGGTAACATATACCTAAGACTTGAGATCGAATCTCGTCATTAATTTTTGCACATAACACACTAGAGAATAGAACGGGGTTGCCCAAGTCGTGGCACCCAAATGAATAGAAACAATAGAAGACATAATACTAGTATTTTTTCTTAGTACTACAAAGTATGATTCTGCTAATAAAAGTTTTCTTGGAATCAACTTTTAGAATACAGGTAATATAATCAACGTGTATAATACAAAGAAAAAGTAGTATCTTAACAATAATCCTTGTACTCATTGATAAAGTCCTTGACAACCTAACGCACTGCACAATAAAGACACCCAAAAAGAAATCATATGCCTGTAAAATTCATATATAGTGCATAAATACCATATCATAATGATTTCCCATTAACCAAACCCTTATTCTTATTCCTCTTTTTCTTCAATCAACAACACTAAAGCACAGTTACCACCCTTCCAACCTTTTGTAGCACGCTTAATATACTACTACAACACTTTTTGGTGCAAAATACTTGCACAAAAAAAATGAAATTCTCTGCTTTATCTGTAGTTTCGATCTTCAAGATCGTCCTACTCCTTACATTAGGTTTGGTGGCCGCAAATAATGCAGGGGAGGCTCAGCTTCGTGGTGGTACAGGAGGTAAGGATCTAGTAAACAAAAGGAAATACTTCTGGCCATGGGATCAGAGAAGATACTGCATCTGGCCTTTATTTCGTTGCCGCCAACCTGATCAACCTCCTGCAGCAGCCACTTCACCACCACCATCTCTGCCAATACCACCTATACCTTTACTCTCACCGCCGTCATCTCTGCCAATACCACCTATACCTTTACTCTCACCGCCATCATCTCTGCCTACAGAACCTATACCATTACTCCCGCCGCCATCATCTCTGCCTGCTCTTCCACCACTAACAAACATCCCAACTGGGCTGATTTTTGCAGACATCAGACTTGCAGTGGTTTATCCTATCATCCAAAACTTTAAAAACATTATTACTTCAGATCCTTTAGGGATCACGAAAACATGGGTAGGATCTGACATTTGTAGATACAAAGGTTTTTTCTGTGATACACCACCAAATAACGCGAGTGCTACAGCAGTCGCATCCATAGACTTCAATGGTTATGGCCTCAGTGCCCCATCATTAGATGGCTTCATAGACCAACTCCCTGATTTAGCCCTTTTCCATGCCAACTCAAACTCTTTTAGTGGCACCCTTTCATCAAAAATAGCCAATCTCCCTTATCTCTACGAACTAGACCTTAGCAACAACCAATTCACAGGTCCATTCCCTCTCGCTGTGGTGGGCATGGAGAGCTTGAGTTTCTTAGACATTCGATTCAACCAATTTTCAGGGTCAGTCCCTCCTGCAATTTTCACACAACATCTTAATGTTCTCTTCCTTAATGACAACAATTTTGTGTCAGCTTTGCCTTCATCTCTTGGAAATTCACATATATTGTATCTCACCTTAGCCAACAACAAGTTCACAGGTCCACTACCACGCGACATAGCCAAAGCATTGTCAGCGTTAACGGAAGTACTGTTAATGAACAACCAGCTAACTGGTTGTTTACCTTACGAGCTTGGCTTCCTTAACCAAGTGACTGCATTCGATATCAGCCACAATAAGCTCACTGGTCCCCTGCCGTTTTCACTAGTTTGTATGGAGAGGGCGTCACTGCTTGATTTCTCAGAGAATTTGCTCTATGGCATGGTGCCAGACATGATTTGTCAGTTACCAAATCTGGCTAAATTATCTCTGTCATATAATTATTTCAACCAAGTTGGTCCATTTTGTAGGAACTTGATTGATAGGGGAATTTTGGATGTGAAAAACAATTGCATCCCCGGTCTACCTTCCCAACGATCAGTGTTTGATTGTACCAATTTCTTCGCCATGCCTAGGATCTGCCCTTACTCGGGAACATATAAAATTATCCCTTGTAAACCTCACTTCATACATTAAGGATTCTCAGCCAAATCATTGTTGATGTAAATGTTTTATAATTTGATCATATATAGTTACTGTCTTTATTAATTAGTTTTATTTATTTCTTTTCATTTAGTCTGTCTTGGGACATTTTATCACTTCAGTTTCTGGTGACAAACCTCACTCCAACAGATTAAACTATGTTCCCAACTTTTTTTCTTTCCATTTTTTTTTTTTTTAAAATTATTCTAGGGCAAGAAATGGTGGAAGTCTGCTGTATGGAATAAAGGTCAGAGTATTAACTGAAGCTAGCATACATATGTACGGGTCATTCTATTGTCGACAGGAAACTAAGATGTTGAAGAGTACATAGTTCACTACCCAGCCAAGCTATAATTGTAACACACATCTTAAAAAAAGGACTTGCAAGAACATTTTTAATAATGGTCATTTAGTTAACATATATACATTCACAAGTTCTTCCTAAATCAAAGAGGGGAAAAATAAATTGCTAACCTAGTGCCTCCAAAATTAACTATTCCAATAATAATAGAATTCCGTGTTCAACCAAAGTATGGCATTTCAATGGAAACAAAGCATATTAGTGATGCATCCTACTTCTAACCAAATGACCACTTTATTTCGAATTGAGCTCCAGCAATTTGATTCGGGAATTAGCTTTCTACTTCCAACTTCCCACGCCATTACTTCCAAATTGTAAGGGTAAGGCTTAGGCTTAAAGACTTTTCTTTGTTTCAGCGAGTAGCTTTGCTGAAACCAAATGCTCAGAGGCTTAGAGCTATAGTTGTCCTGTCGCAGTCCATTTTGATGCCAATCCTAACGACACTTTTTGGTGTTACCCTCTATTTCACATTTTTGTCATCCAAAAATTGTGGAGAAACTATAAGTAGGAAAAAGGCTTCCATGATTTGAGTACTTGAAAGGAATACTATATGTAGATCAATATCAGTAGCCTAGGACATCTCTTCACCAGTGCTCAAGTCATCTTCTTCCATCAATGCGGCCTCTTTGATTTCTTGCAACATTTTCAAAACTTGCCACATGTTAGGCCTCTGCTCTGGGGAGGCAACACTACAAGCTATGGCCACCTCAAGAAGCATCACGAGCCTATTCTCATCACTACCGCCATCTGCAACATCTCTTGCAGATCTTACCCAGTGTACTATGTCATTTGGAGTAAGATATGGATGCTCAGATGGTGGTTTTCCAGTCAAGAGCTCAAGTAGCAACACTCCGAAAGCATATACATCTGATTTAGATGTTGCTTCAGAATCAGACTTGCGGAATTCTGGTGCTTTATACGCCCACAAGCTAGGATCATCCTCTGCTAATGATGACTCAGCTAACACACTCAAGCAATAGTCAGTGATACATGCCTCAAAGTCAGAACCAAGGAGGACATTAGAGGATTTAAGGTTGCCATGGACTAATCTCCAAGCTTGATGAATATACGAAAGTCCTTGTGCTATGTCCTCCGCTATTTTCAAGCATGAAGTCCAATGTAGAGGCTTTGCCCTTGCTGACTTGGAACCTGCAGGTTAGAATGAGAGAGCTATTCAACATCAATAATAGAAGACTTATCAGCTAAATGCAGACCTTTAAACTAATTAAAAAGAGCCAATTTATATCAGATACTTCATATATACCACTCGAGAAATTTAAAAAATAAAATAAAAAAATAAAATAAAAAAATAAAAAAATCAAATCTGCATACTGTGATACTGAGTATTTTATGCTTGCCCTACTGCAGTACCAAGATTATAACTAAATCAATATCATGTCACTAGAATGCAGTCATTACATTGTTACAATGCTTCAATAACATTCTTTGTGATAAGTTGTAATAAATTTAATGATCAAAGTAAGATACTCAGCAGAATGAATGTACTATGTATTATTATGTACTAACTTAACTATAAAGAGCTCCAGATAAAAATGAAGATAAAACAGTAAGTAAACAATTATATTGCTAACACTAAAAACAAGCGTATGTTTGGATGGTTGCAAACAAGCAACAGATAAACATTAGCCAAAAAACTATGCAATGGAACACAGTAAGACACTGCTGGTTGTAAAATTAGAATTTTACTGTCTCAAATCAATCCTATTAACACCAATCTTTTGCCAAAAAGTGAAAAGTTACCAAAACGATACTGCCCATTGCCCCATTGTTTCTCAATGATTTTCTCAAATTTGATTTCTTTTGTTTGAAAAGTGAGACAGAAACTGATTGCCAAGAGCAGTCAAAGAACGTACAGTTAAGATCGTCATTGCATATTGATTCACAAAACCACACCAATCTGGGAAAAATTAGAAAGAGCAGCCAATTTTCGCAATCCATCATCTCTTATGCACAGCTTCCTGTTGGTTCAATGTTATACCTATTTGCATCCTTAAACAATCAAACCAGAGCCATGATATATCTTTAATTAAGGTAAGCCTTTTGAATACGTTATATTTCCTAACTCCCAGCCCCACAACACATTAAGTAAGCACTAATATGGTACTGAGGCAAAGAATAAATAGCTTCTCTTCATATTTGTCATGTCAATAATGTGATAGGCTTACTAAACAATAGTAATATCTTTTTTATCAAGCCTAACACATAAAAGTGAAAATGTATTGTTTTTCTTTTGTGACAAATCCTTAAGATCAACAGGCACAATAGGTAATGAAATACTTTTGCATCTAAAATCTAGGTAATAAAATACTCCATATAACATAATCTGCAACACAATTTTAGGCTAATAGAAAAATTCTTCCTCATTAGTTTAATTATTCTAGTCAACGATCCACGGATCAACACGTGTCACTCCAATTACAAAGAGTTAATTCACAGTGCTTCTAGGCACGAATGTCCCGTGGCAAGAGGCTACTTAATAGTTCATGGGTTTTCTCATAGTAAGAAAAAAAAAATGTAGTTCATACCACAACAAGATGCTTGTAAATATATTCCCTATGCCTTGAATTCTCGTGACAAAATAGCACCAAAACTAATAATTTAAAATGTTATGTTGTACCATATATCTTACCGTTGGACAAGTGTGATTTCGTTGTCATATTAGCGAATATTCGGAATACTATTAGCACCAACATAATAAGATAAAGAATTTCTACTCGTACTAATTAAAGTTGAAATGCAAAACAATGATATGTTAATTCTTACTCCAGTCTTTGAAATTCTTGATTGTATCATACAAACAGTCGAAACATAATGAACTTTTAGAGACCGATGATCACTATAACAATGATATGACACAAAAAAATGAAAGTGAGAGAAAACTAACCATGTATGAGAGAAAACAAGCTTCCATTAGGTTGATAATCATACACTAAAAGCCTCTCTTCCTTTGCCTCAAAATAACACCTTAAGGGCACCAAATTAGGGTGTCTAAGCGCGCCAACTGATTCCATGTGTTGCTGGAACACCTCTTTACCTGCACCCCCAATTCTACTCGAATCCAATCTCTTAACACAAACAATCAAACGATTATCAAGTACTGCTTTATATGTAGTACCAATAGTCCCTCTTCCTAACAATTCAGCCGATCCTCTCATCAATTGTTCCAAAGAATATAACTCAGTTTCACCTGCACAAAACACCAAACTCCCACTCTTCCCTACTGTCGCCGCTGCCGCTGCTACCTTGATCATGCCTTCTTGTTGCGCGCTCTTCACTTTCTCCTCCATCTCCTCCTCTGTCCTCATCACTGCGGCTGCGTCCGCGTTTGCCGAATAGTCTGATGCCATAGTTGTTCTTTCAATATGACGGTCTCTCCTCTGCTTCCTTACTGCTAGAGCAAAGCATGTGACTGACCCTATTAGTACTGTTACTCCTACAATGAACCCCCATATTAGAGCCTTACTAGTATGACTATTTCGACTCGGTTTGGATAAGCCCACCCCGCGTAGTTGCGAGCTCTGCTGCCCGATTCCTCCCACCGCCTCCATTGGCGCCGCGGATGATGCAGGGTCAGCCGCGGCGGGGCCGAAAAAATGTATTTTACTGCATTGCTTGTGCAGAATCTTCCCGCACAATCCCGGGTTATGATTATAACTAGACGGACTGAATTTAGATAACACAAGTGTCACCGGAATCGGTCCCTTGAGATTGTTGCTTGAAACATTGAAAACCGACAATGTAGACTGATTTAGTGCCGGAATCGGTCCCAAGAACTGGTTAAACTCGAGGCGGAGGTAGTACAATCGGTCTAACCGAGCCAACCAAGTGGGTAACTCGGCGGTGAGATTGTTATACGACAAATCAAGGGTTCTAATTCGATGGAGCGTTACAATAGACGGCGGAAAAGACCCAGAAAAACGATTGTGGTGAAGAAATAAGGCCTTAAGATTAGTGAGACTAGAAAGATTTGGAATTAGTCCAACAAGCGAGTTGTTCTGTAGACTGAGAACTCGGAGTTGATCTAGTCGAGTTAGTGAGTCAGATGAAAATATGCCGCCAAGATTATACCCTTCAATCACGAGTCGAACAACTCTATGTTTATAACATTGAACACCTTGCCATTTGCAATGCGAAAAAGTGGTGTTAAAATCGAGCTTATTATTCAAATCAGCTTTTCTTTTGAAGTCTAAGAGTGCTTGAGCATCTGCTGGAAGATGCGAGCAATTAACGTAAGATAGGAGAAGATTTAATGAAAAACTAGAGAAGAAAACTAAGGAGAATGATTTGGACAACATTATTGTGTACAAGTTCAGAGAGGTAAAAGCATTGTAAAATGGAAATGAAATGACAAAAGGGATGAAAAGAGAGTGAATGAATGGTGAAAGGAGGAAGGAGAGTAATGGTAGGGTGGTACTGGCAGTGTGACAGAGTATCACGTGCAAGAGGTGGAAAAGCGAGCTATAGGACTGGACTGACATACTTGCTTGGTTCAACTTTTCTATGAAACTCATTCAGATTTTTGAGAATAATTCATCACTAGCGTTAAAAAAATTTTTGGATTACATTGTTTGTTGTTGTAATTTCGCTAAATGGGTTTACCGTTTGGTTAATTAGGATATATTATAATGTTAGAGACGGAGAAAGAGAGGAATTATATGAGTTAACAACATCCAAGGTACTTAATGGCTTGTTTGATAACCAGACTTTTAATTTTGGATTTGGTCCAATTAATTTATTTGGACATGCTTAGAATTTGGGAAAAGAAATTGGCCCAAATCCAAAATTATGAAACATGAGTATATTTTGATATATTGAAGTTTCAATCCTAAACATGTCACTTCAAATTCTATTATTTATTAAAAAAAGTCCAACTCTCTCTCTCTCTTTCTCTATCTCCTATGTCGTCAATGTCGATTACTTCTCTCTCCTAGGGCTTGGTTCTCGATTTTTTCCCTCCTCCATTGTAGCAGATTCCTCAATTGAAACAGATTAGTGAGCTCTCTCCTCCATTGATGTAAATTAGTGAGCTATCTCCTCCATTTAAGCTCTATCTCCTCCGTCGAAGTGCAGCAACGACGCAGCTTTTTCTCCTCATTGAATCGGCTTGTGAGCTTTCTCTCCTCCATGGAAGAAGCTTTTAAGCTTTCTCCTCCATTGAATCAGCTTTTGAGGTAGAACTTTCTTAAATAATTGAATATCAATTTCATAATCTAGGGTTTATCGATAATTACTGCTGATTTTTTTTTCGCCCTTTTTGGTTCATTTTTAATATAGATTAAGTTGATTTATGTGGTAAAACGCTAGTATTTAAGCGCACACTAGATGTTCGATGAAATGCTAAAGTGAGAAATTGTTTACAAACCAATATCTTTGCCCTCTATTCTGCATGTAAATAACTTATACTGTAACCCTATATTGTTCACCTTTCATGCTTAATGTACTTATATTGCTGTATGTTGCAAGCATGTTTCTGGGAATGGTTATGCTTCTTCCGAGGTAGGGTGTTGTATCTTGTATTTTTTCTACAGGAATGTTTAAGAGTTTGTGATGTTATTAATTTTAACTTTACTAAATTGGTCATGGATATTTGCTGAGAATAAAAAACAATATGTATATATCCTAGTTATTAATCACAAAACTAAAGTGGGTATGATAATAGTTGAACATTGTTTTTAATTTGGACTTAAGTTTAGAGGTGAAATTGACCAGATTGGTAGCTCTCTGTCAAGTAATCAAGTGGCAACTCTAATAAGTAGCCATCTAATGCAAGAAAATAGAGTAGTCAACTTGATTTGAACAATCCTACAAATGAAAAGGAGCTTTTTTAATTAACTTGCAACACTCATCTGCTCGAAATACCATTGAAAGGGCATTTGGGTTGTTAAAGAAGCGTTGGAGCATTTTAAGAGATTCTAGCTTTTTTCCAAAAAAAAATCCAAGTAAGAATTATCAATGCTTGCTTTAATTTTCTAAGGGAAGAAAAAATGGAGGAAACGAGCCGTATGCAAGAGGTGGATCATGACTTGCTAAACATGGAAGCTGAAGATGAAGAAGAAGACTACATTTTAGCCGCTTGAGCAACAAATGAGTGGAACAATTTTAGAGATGACCTTGCTAAGAAGATGTTTCAAGAATATGTGGTATGAAGGGGTTAAGCTACCTAGGTTTTAGTTGTAATGAGACATTTGTGTACTATGTATGGTTTGTCATAAACTATTTATTATGTAATGAGACATTTGTATACTATATATGGTTTGTCATAAATCTAGTGATGAGTGTCATTATAGCACTCATATGGTAGCATTTTAGGACTTTCTTCCTCTCTTTTATAGCTTTTCTCTTTAAATAATGCTTTAGTTTCGTTCATTTGCGTTTTAGTTTCTTCGTTCTCTTATTTTATGATTTCTCGTGAATTGAGGGTATTTTCGTCTTTTCTACTCTACTCGCTTTACTTTCTTTTATTGTAGGTCTTGTTTGGGGGTCGAGGTTTATTTTAGAAGATTCTCCAAGTCTTTTGGATGCTCGGGACAAGATCTCATATTATTCGGATGCTAAGGATCAAGTTAAGAAGCAAACAACTACTCAAGGCCTTGCGCTCTCGTCTACGCTCTCATCACATCACGCAAAATTTAAGGTTTGAAGGCTTCCCCCTCGAGAGCATCATGTGAGAGCGTCAGTGAGGAGCATGCATGTGAGCTCAAAGACCAAAGCAAGGCCGAGGGTGTAAGGTGCTGCTGCTGCTATGATGCGAGGAGTGGGTGCAAGGTGCTGCTATGAGGGCCACACACCCTGTGGTGCGCACGCGCACACCCCCTAGTACGTGTGCACCACAGGCCAAGCCCGAGCACTCCCCTTACTTACTATATAAGGCCTTGTTCTTTCTATTTTTGGGGCATGACATATTTTCTAGTACATTTTTTACATTTTCTAATTTAGATAGAGAAAGTAGAGAGAGAAACACTTAGATACTTGTTTTGTACTTTAATTTACTCTAAGCTTGGATTTCCCTTAATCAATCAATATTAGTGAGAATTCTTTCCTTTAATTCATCTCCTTTTGGTTTAATTTTAGCTTTGATCTTGGATAATTGTTTGAATTGGTTTAATTTCTTGATTAGTTGTTTAATCATTTGATTTTGTCTTTGATTAGTTGAATATGATGATGATTATGATTAGCTTTGTTTTGTTTCTTCAATTCATAATGATTAGTGAGTATTAGCTAGGGTGATGGGGAAGCATGTATGATTGATAGATTGTTGCTAATTTTGGGAATTGGTCGATAGATTGTTGTGATTAAATTGATTGATGGATTTGTGCATGTTTTTAGTTTGATAGAATTGATCAACATAGATTGCTAAAATTGATTGCATTGTTAATCTTGATGACATGACCACTTGATTTTCGATTTTCAATTATCAATTTGTTTGAATTGTGATTCTTCTAGCTTGTCATACATAGTGGAAACCTAACTTGACAATTAGTCTAGATAACCTTTTGAACTCTTTGATTGCAAATACCATTAGTCCTTGCAACACCCTATGCTTCGATTCACCCCCCAAATTGGTGCTTCTATCGTGAATAAATGTGGAACCTAATCCCTAGCATCTTTGAATTTTAATCTTTCTCGATTTCTAGCTTATTTGATTAGTTTAGTTCACACTACACTCCCTATCATTGCTTCGAAGTAGCTTGACACAAAACTATAGTAACCTTCCACCCATTCTCCAAGGATTAACTTGGACTTACCCTATACTAGGTGTAGGTTCGATCATAAATTTAGTTGACATAGTTAAGCTAGTTAACGACCTAGTTTCAACCCTTGCCAAATGGCGCCGTTGTCAGGGAGTGGCGTAGTTTGTTTGCTTTAGTTTGTTGAGTCTACTTCACTCTATTTGAAAATATAAAAAGATTTTTCTCTTTAGGCTACACTTGTAGCCGTGTTACTAATCTTTTCATTGAGTTTTGCATGCATAGTACTCGTTCTCGTTCACTTGTTCCTCTCGATCCGTAAATTGAAAGAATAATCTCTAGAAGACGAGTTGCTTTAAGATAATCCACCAAGACAAGAGGTACAACAAGAATTTGAACAAGCAAACATGGGAGATGTTTCAGGGTTTTCTGATGTCCTGCGGGAGAGTTACAATTCCAAGACTAGAACTGTGTGCCTGTACCTGCAAAACAACGGAGACTCCGGGTGGTAGGAGCTCCGCCTCCGACGATCAAGTTAGTACTTGCTTTTAGGAGTAATAAATGCGGAAAAAAGGTAATGTATTTCTCTAGGTGAGAGTAATTAATTGGCTTCCTTCCCCTTAATGAGGATTAATGATGGTATTTATATGTCTTGGGATGCATGCCAGTCCTAGGTTTAGGTCAACCTAGGGCTGATTGGGCTTCCACAAGTCTTTGGGCCTAGGTGGCCGGTTCTCCCATTTGGCATGGAGGAGGACATGTGTCGTAACACAACTAGTCTGTGGTGGACCGATCAACACCTGACACGTGGCAGACTCCTATTGGACCACGTGGCAGACACATGGCATAACCTGATAGGTCCACTTGTCAGACGGTGATTGGTAGGGAAAAATCCCCTAATCATTTTCCCCTCACAGGTGGCACGTGACTGTTCACATGTCACCCGTGATAGGTGTCGACCTGCTACAGGTGTCGCCCTGTGACGGGCCGAGCATTTTTCCTGCTCATTTTTTGAATTTGGAGGCGACTCTTCGCATTCTCTTTTGCCCTATATAAAGGCATGTTGACCAAGTCTTTTGTTCACATTTGCGAACTTTTTCAAGAGAACTCTTGGACCCCTAAACTTGAGCTCTGACACTTTGCAACTTCTGACCTACCAAGACGACTGTTTTACTAGGCGCCTACTTGACCATGATCTTCAGAACTTAAGTTTCAGGTAACCGTCTGTTCCTTTATTCTTTTTGCTTTTGCACTTTTTCTTTCTTTTTGACAATGAGACCTCAAAAGCATTCGACACGGCCTAGGTTAGCAATCAGCCGGTCACCGGGGACGGCTGAGTCTAGGACTAGGGGTGCCGACTGCCCTGCGGTACTTCAAACTTTGCGCAAGTCCCGGAATCCAACTGTCTTTGTATCTATGTAGGACAGTATGGCAAGAACAAAAAAGACTAAGAGAATAGAAAACTCTGATGGCTCCTCTTTCCGGGTTCCGATTAGTGAAACATCGGACCAGGCGCCTGATACGGCAGGGACCCAAGGTGACCCTTTAGCCAAGAGCTCTGAGGAGGGTGCTAAGGTAGCTCCTTCTCACTTTACTGTTGACCTAGCTAGTCAGCAGACGGCCCCCGAAGAAGAAGAGGGGTCGGCCCCCTCAGGGAGTGGGTAGGAGTCGGACTCTTCTAATAGCGAGTCTGACTCTAGCTCGTCAAGCCGCCTATCCATAAGCTTAGAGGAGAGGCATGCTCGCTTGCATGAGGCAAGAGCTTCTCATGCGGCTGAACACTCCTTATTATTGTCACGTACCCAAGGGCCGGATCAAGGCCATGAAAGAGCGAATAGACACCTTTCTTTCGGACCATACAATGGGTCAGGATTATCAAGTATTTGTGCCGGATGGCGAGGACACAGTCGTTTGGCCCAAGGGATCTAGCTATGGGGATGCCTGTTTTGGCTGTTATGAGGCGGCCATCAAAGCTGGATTACGATTTCTCTTGCATTCGGGCATTCAGCAAATCCTTAATGGATATGAGGTGGGGCTTTGGCAATTAGCCCCGAACTTTTGGTTCAACATTCTTAGCTATGTAGCCGGATGTGAAATGCATGGGGCAGAGCCGAATTTCGAGGCGTTCGCCCATATGAACTACCTCATCCGGACCCCCAAGGCAAGTGGTACCGGCTGGTACCAAATAACGAGTCATAAGGGCTACCTCATGACCAAGGGCAAAGAAAATAAATGGAAGGATTGGAGAAACACCTTCCTCATCATTTCCAACCCAGACCACCTGCTGAACAAACGCTACAATAGGTGGAACAGGGATCCGCCTCTTCTAGCAGGCGGTCGCAACATGCCGCTTGTTCCCCTCAAGGCCAGGGAAGAGATCCTGGACCGAGGTCTGTTTAAAGTAGAGATTAGGGCAAACTGTACTACTGGGGTGCGAGAGCAGGTGCCCCTAAACTGCGTCCCAGAGTTTCAATGGCTCTATGACGAGTTTTTCCTGGCCTCTTGCGGCCTTAGCAGTCGGTCCTCCAGAGGTAGCCGGCCACTTGAATATATGTACCCTTCATATTGATTTGTTTGAAAATTTTTCTAACTCTTGTGGTTCTTATTTGTAGCTGAAGCTATGGACCAAATCTCTGCTTCCAAGAAGGCGGCTGCTATGCTGCGAGCCTCCATTATGCAACAGAAGCGGGCCACTTCTGATTCTCCTGCCAAGGAGACGCCCACAGTGAGTTTCGATCCTTAGAACTTGCCTTTGAAAATCTGCTTAATAATTATTGACCACTCGTCTTTTTCGCAGACGGGCACTTCCAAACGCTCATCCTCACCAACCGGACTCGAAGGTTCGGAAGACGACTGGTGGGAGTATGCCTGGATCTGCCAGGAAACAGTCGGCTGACAAGCAGCCGGTCACCCCACAAAGTGTGGGGAACCCATCACTTGTTCTCAGTCGGCCGCCTAGAAGTATAGCCTGCTTTGCTAGACTTAGCTTGCTTCTTCATCATTCCCTTCATTTTCTGATGTTTTTCTTTGTTTTTAATGCAGGCGGCCTTTCAAAACCGGACTTGGTCTAAATGGCCAAGTCCATGATTAAGGCCGTCCCTCAAGAGGAGAGGGATGCGGTCAAGGGAGTCAGCACCCTTGACCTAGACGGCATCATGGGTCTCCTTTCTGAGGTAGACCTAGAATATTTTTAAAGTGCTGACTTTTCGTGCCGCCTGTTATTCTTAAATCTGATGCCTGTTTTTCCTTTTTCCAGACCATGATGCGAGTACACGGCCTCCGGAGGCCGATCAATGCCTAGAACAAAGAGGTAAAGGCTGCTAAAGCTATGGCCGCCTCTGACGTTGATAAGGCAATGTTTCAAATTGCCCAAAATGAAATTTTGACAACTGATATTCTTTATTATCAGGCGCAGGCCACTTCCACCATCCAGACTAAGTTGGAGGCGGCCAAAAAGAAGAATAATGAGCTGGAGGCGAAGGTCAAGAGCCTCAACGATGAGCTGCGGCCCCTTAAAAACATTGCCTACAAGGTTGAAGATCTGCAGAGATCTCTTGATACACTCAAGGAGCGCTTGGAGAAGCAAGAGGCGGCCATCTCAAAAGATCTTAATGCGAAGG